GAAATGAGTGAGCACCAAATACACGAGATCCATCTCGGATGTAATCACCTGACAACTTGCAGATCTGGATGGTATGAGCATGGCTCTCCAAACCGAACCTCCCCAGGCATTTCCGGGCATCCTGGTAGGGCAGATTGAAGTTACGCTGAAGATACTCCGTCGCCGTCTCCTCCATGTTCAACTGATCTGCATATTGCTGATTAAAGAACCCAATTTTCTATGTAGGAAAAAAAAAAATACAGTCAAAGGAAGAGTCACATGAGAGGTAATGCCCCACCGTGTCCAATTCTGTCCTACAGACACCAGCACTCACCAGTCTGTGATTCTTCCTCATTTCTCCTTTTGTCTGTAAGGAAGACACAAAACTTACTGTAGCAAACCAGTTACTGAAGCCATTAATGATGCACACAGCGCGGTGCCAGCTTATACTTACCGGTGTAAGTTTTCCAGTGAGAAGTAACAGCAGAGTACTTTTGCCCACACCATTCGGGCCCACAATACAGACTGTAGAGACAAAGGAGGAAGGGTGTCTCGTATGTTATTTTATTACAGCGGCGCAATCCTTTTTATTGGTCTACCGACGTATCTCAAGATAGATTTTACTTCGCATTACAAGGCCTCACTCCCAAAGGCCGATAAGCCCCCGGCAGCTTTTCAAAGGGGAGCAGGGCCCAGACCAGCAATCACCAAGAAGGCTGCAAACCATCCCTAACACATGGAGAGCCTCTAAACTGCACCGCCATGATCACACAAGCGGTTATTGAGAATTATTTTGTTCATATTTGTATTAGTTTAAACTGCTAAAAATGAAATATTCTTATTTGAAGTAAATATAACGTATTTATATTCAGAATTCTCTGTACAACTTACAGCCAAAGTAGTTGGGACAATTGCTTTGCAATGTTTGTGAATAGGCTGCAATTTCATCTGTAATTTAGCACACACACCACACTTAAAGACTCAGAACTGGGGCAGAACCCCCCTCCCTCTCCACACCCAATAAGCTCTGCATGAAGTGCTATTTAGACATTAGGCAAATGGGCAGCTACTGTTTAGCTTTAAATCCAGAACTCTCTGCATACCCTGTATAGTAAAAGCACCCCAAATACTTTTACCTAGTTACATAGTATTTGAGGTTGAATAAAGACACATGTCCATCAAGTCCAACCTAGTGTGTGTGTGTGTGTGTGTGTGTGTGTGTGTGTGTGTGTGTGTGTGTGTGTGTGTGTG